ATAACAAATCGAAAATTTCAAAATATGTTATAAATGCCAACCCCAACTACATTCTGAACTTTAAGTAAATCGATCAGAGCATACTCGAGTAAGTGCGCGACATAAGAAATTGAAAATTACTAATCAATTTAACTTATAAAATATAAAAATAAACATGAACAAATAATAATATTTACATATTTTATTTTGCACGTAATAGTAGCAATGGAAGTATCATCAAAAATAGAATATAATATGATGTCATAAAATAACACATAACAAGCACAAACCGAACTTGATCTTGATAAAACAATACACCAAATATCAAATCATTATCTTCAAGCACTACGTTCGTATGGGACTAAAAAACACAAAAAGCACAAACTTCATCATTCTGCAGACGATCTTTGAGTTCTTGTAGGCGTTGATTGATTTGTATGTATTGTCTTCTCTTTGTTGGTCGTAACCCCCCTTGTGTGTATTGTCTTTTCTTAGTTGAGTCAGGAATGTCTTTTTTAGTTTTTCGAAGCCATCAATAAAATTGTTTTTTTTTTTTAAATTAAACACTTAGTTAGTCTTGTATCATTTTTAATTTTAGTTTCTTGTGTATAATTTGGAGTTTAGTATGACGTCCATTATCACTGAACTAGTATACATATTTGTTTAGGGGCCAGCTGAAGGACGCCTCCGGGTGCGGGAGTTTCTCGCTTCATTGAAGACCCATTGGTGGCCTTCGGCTGTTGTCTGCTCTATAGTCGGGTTGTTGTCTCTTTGACACATTCCCCATTTCCATTTTCAATTTTACTATAAGGTATGGGGAAAATCTGGATTCAGAATATATTTTTTTTGTCATCTGCTTGATCACAATATATTTTTTTTCATCAAATTAGCGATCAAAATATTTTTTTGTAGGAAAACACAATAAGTGTCATATTTCAAAACAATATAAAAGTTGGTCATTGAAGGTTAAGCAATAAAACTTTTACATTATCTAGATTATAATTATAAGATATGCAGTACTTCCCAAAATTTCAAAGAATAATTGACAGAAATTTTCAATGTGTCAGGCCGGGACATACTATTTATCTTAGCTTAACTTTATGGTTATCTGAGATGTTTCAATTGAGTTTTTTTATCCTAAATGGTCGAAGTCGGACACTAGATGGAACACAGCCGCTTCATCTGATTGTGAGCTTTTCGGTCCAAGGAATACTGAACTCTCATTCATTCATAACAAGGCCGCAGGAACTGTCGTGAAAAAAGTGAATGTAATTGAAGAAAATCAAATAAAGGATGATAAGAAAGTACTACTAGGTTCAGTTTATTTAATTTATATGTTTTAAAAAAGCAGCTAAGTGATGACGTCACATTCAGTATTCAAGCGGCTGTGTTTCATCAAGTCAGAGTCCAACTTCGACCATTTAGGATATTTTGTTTCAAAATTCGTAAACCAGAACAGATTTTATTTCGTGGCCTTAAATTTCATTTATGGTTAATTCTAAAGAAAAATATAGATCTTTCGAAAAGTGTAGAAACTTCGGCCACCGCACGACGCAAGTGCAAGGTGAAAACCATGATGAAAGAATGTAAACAAACGTGCACTGGAAGGTAAATAGTAATAACTCATTCTTAAAAACAAATTAAATACAATAAATCCTTTATAAACTGTTAAGGAAAAGTTTAATTAACAAATGGAAATCCATAGAAATTTACCGAAAATATAAAAATAAAATATCATGGCTCTGTCAATTCACATATTTGTCACGTGCTCCATATGTTCTGTGTTGATTGTTTAACAATGTCACGATCCGGTGTCCATTAGCCATTTTCCCCATGCTATTTTTTCAGGGGGGAAGAACTGGATCGAACGTTACCAAACAGTCATTGTGGACACAGACCAGTGAACATAATGACAGACTGGTGGACCCATAGACAGACTAGTGGACGCACACAAAGACTGGTGGATCTGTAGACAGGATGCATGTGGACATGTTAACAGATTGGTTGATCCATAGACAGACTTTCAGACATGTCGACAGACTAGAGGACATGTAAAGAACAAGACCGAAGGGTGAACATGTTGACTGACCGGTGGACACGTAGTCAGACTGGCGGACAAATAAATAGACTGGTGAACATGTCGAATGACTGGTTGAGACGTAGAAACAGACTGGTGAACATTTAGTGAGACTTGCAGAGACACACAGACTGGTGGACATGTAGAAAGACTTGTAGGCATGTCGACAGATTGATGAGTATAAACACAATCTGGTTTACATGTAAACGGATTTGAGGACATAAACACAGATTGGTGGACATGTTAACGAACTACTGAACATGTTAACAGACTAATGGACATTTAGACAGACGAGTGGCCATGTAGAAATGAACTCATATTTGTGGATATGTGATGAAATCATTTTACTATCTGGCATGCACACGCCAGTGGACATAGGGCCCAAGGACACAGTTTTTTTCGTTGTCTACAAATATAGTCCCTAGTGTGAACAGTGTATAACTTGCATTTTTTTTTATACACTTTCCCAATTTATTTCTTGATATTTTATGCATGAAATATTAAGTAAAGGGATGAAATTACATGTTAAAAAAAAATTGGGTGCTGAATCTTTATGTTAAGTAGTGATTTGGTCCAGTTAAAAAAGGTCAAAAATTAGAATGTCTGAAGCTGTCAAACTGAATTTTAGCCCCCCTTAACACAGAATTATATCATGCCAATTTTCTCCCGGGGGAAAAACTGGCAATGGGGGGGGGGGGGGGGGGGGGGGGGGGGGGGATGGCTATATAACACGGGTAAACTTCGACAACAAACTCGACAGTTGGCAACTTGCGATCAAGAATCAATGAATGAAATATTATATTTGTTGATAATACGTTATAGTATTAGATTCGTAATAAATATACTAAAACGTGAATACAGGACTTGGTTTAGTATATATGTATGCATTACTAGGTTTATTTTCTAAACTCATAAAACATAATATCCCCCCAAAAATGTTTAATGTTATTTATTCAATGTATACTGATACAGTATGTAGAATAAAATTCTCTAATGGGCTGAGTCCTCCATTCCTATCAGAAAGGGGTGTTAAACAAGGTGACGTATTGAGTCCCCTTCTTTTTAACTATTTTATAAATGAACTAGTAGGTAATCTTGATAACAAACATACGAATCCAGTTGCCATTGGGGATACCTCTTTGAACATTCTTTTATATGCAGACGATATTGTTTTACTATCTCAAAGCAAAGAGGGTCTACAAAAATATCTTGATATTTTACATGAATATTGTTCATCATGGAAACTACAAGTTAATACTGATAAATCAAAAATTATGATATTTAATTCTAATGGCAAGACATTGTTAAACCATTTTACCTATTATAATGCATATCTTGAAACGGTTACAAATTATTGTTACTTGGGTATTGTTTTAAAGTATAATGGCAATTTTTGCCTTGCTGTGAATACTCTAATGGAAAAAGCCAGGAAGGCATACTATAAGATAAAGAAAACTATAGGTCTCAACAACCCATGTAGACTTCTTGAAAAATTGTTTGATTGTTTAGTTACTCCCATTCTTACATATTGTAGTGAAATTTGGGGGGTGGATTCACATTTTAAAGACTCTGATCCCTTTGAAAAACTTCATGTTAAATTTATCAAAGATATATTAGGGGTTCACTGTAAGGCATCTAATGATGGATGTCGAGCCGAACTTAACAGAATTCCCTTGAAAAATAAAATATTATATTCAATATTCAACTACCTGAACCATATAGTTTCTTCGGAAAATTCTTTGGCATATGATATATTCACTAAATCTGTAGATTCAAAACCTTGGGTCATAAAGGTCAAGAGTCTTTTGAATGGACTTGGAATGTCTTATATCATTAATAACTTTAATTATGTTAAAGGTAATTTAAATTCCTTTAAACAAAGAATTAATGACCAATGTTTGCAAGTTCAAAATGCAAATATATTTGAATCAAAAAAGTTAGACTTTTTCAAGAGTGTCTACATAATGGGCAGAAGACCACCCTATGTTGATATATTGAAAAACAGAAGTGACAGAGCTGCAATATGCAAGATCCGTATAAGCGCTCATATACTAATGATTGAAAGAGGGAGACATCTAAATATTCCCAAAAATGAAAGATACTGCTCTGTATGTAATTCTGGTCAAATTGAAAATGAAAAACATTTTCTTTTACATTGTGAAAAATACTCAACTAAAAGGGCCATATTTTACCCAAAAGTTTCAAATATAATCGTTGATCCTACAAAATTTCATAAAAAAGAAAATAATGTAATCTTTTTATTAAATAATAATTCATACACAATCCTAAAATTGACTTCCTCTTTCATTTCAGACAGTCTGAATCTGCGTAAAGCAGAACAAACTCTATAAAATTGTCAATATGTCTAATTCATAATCATTGTTTATAATATTACATATTAATATTATAGTCATTATTTGCAATACTTATTATGTATGATCAACTATGTAATTAATATACCATGAGCCTTAACCATTTATTGTTGATGAGTTTGTGCTAATAAAAAATTGGTAATTTGTAATTGCATTGATTCAATAACTTCGATAACATTAAAATTACAAAAAAATTGTTTCATATGGCTTTAAAACATGATGTAAATAACCTAAAATTATACGCCTACTGTTTGGTAAACAATATTGAACTTTCAGTACAATTTTTTTTATGTAATTTGTTTGAAAGATTGCATTTTCAGATTGTATTTCAAACGGATGTCTGAAATGTTTTTTTATAAATATCGATAAAATGTATAAACTACGCTGTTCAAATCGCAGATGTTTCACGGTTATTTATCTTTGCAATATCAATACATTAATATTTTAGATATCTGTAACTAGGCGCACCTACACACATTAATTATTCAAATTGTTTACAACAAACGATGGAAAAGTACCAACATACAACCTTGTTTACATGAAAAGTCGGTCAAGTGTGAAATGTAAAAACCTAAGGTAACTGTCCTGACTAGTATTTAGATAAACATCAACAGATCATGGCGACCGACTCATGACATACAGTGCATGTTTAGTAACGTAACATAAATGTTGTGCTTTTATATAGGAATTAATGCATGTGTATCATTTTCAATAGCACTTGGCATTACTGTCGCCTTGGACACTGGACTGACAACTGTCTATGGAACGACTTGCGTACGATTCAACTGCACTGATCTGGTTCCCAACTTTAAAAATAGGTCAAGGAAGGTATTTATAGTATAAAATGATTTATTTCTATTGACAATACACAGTATATCTATATCGTTCAGCACGTCTTGTGACTTAGTATTTCTTGTTTAAAAAGGTAAGTCAAATGTTTGAAATTCACAATGTGGTTAAAAGTTTTAAAGGGCAGTCTACAGTTTGGAATTAGATGAATTGATTATATTAAATGAAATTATAGATTTTATATGCATTTGAAAATTACAAAATGAAAGTGTGATTGGAAAACCAAAAGGCATCTTAATAAATATCTGTCTAGTGAGTAGTAGATACAAAGTATACAAAAATTTCAGAATTCGTTTACTTGTAGAAATGTGTTTTCATATGTATTAACTTCAATGAACTGATGAAAATGTGACACAAGATTTTTTCTTTCTTTGAGGGGGATGAAACGCTTTTGTGTAGATGTGGGATATAGAGGATGAAAATGTGGGATGTAGGGATTAAAATGAAAACCCCATGCCACCCCTCTCTCTCTCTCTCTCTCTCTCTCTCTCTCTCTCTGTTTCATTCTTTTCATATTAAATTATCTTTTAATTCAAATATTTATGTTGTTTTTCTTTGTCTGTGTATTATTTTTTTTTACTTTAAAATAGATCGAACTAGGTCAAATAAGGTCAACAGTTGCCATGACATTATCACGCAATCTACACAATTTAAATCCGCTGACAGAAAAATTAAGAGAGCTGTGAAAAAATAAGAATTAATTCATCATGTACATGGTAGGACATGATGTACATGCTATATTTACCATGACATTATCAAACACAAAATTACCGGAGTTACAAGTTTCCATTTCCCCTTTAGCTGAAAACTGACAACCTAAACATTAATTTACACAAGATGGTACCCGAATTTTGTGAAAATGTCAAGGTTTTTCTGCTCTTCAGTCATGTTGTTGGATATTGTGCTGACAGAAGTAATTTTAATTGTTTCCTGTTGAGGAGATTATTTAGGGGAACGACCATTTGATATTCTTGGGGAGGGGTAGGAGATTTTTTTTCTTCACATTTGTACACATTTGTTTCCTGCATGTTATTTGTGTTCAGTTCTTACCAGACCAAGTTTCATTTTCAAATCCCACTGCCCCCATCCATCCCACCGCAGAAAATCAAATGGTCCCCCCCCCTTAAACAAACTGAATATTAATTTATTTTAAAGTCGAAATGGATACTTGTGTAAACATAAAACAAAAAATAATTCAGATAATTTAGTGTATAATGAAGTTTTAACGTTAAATATAGCATCACTTATTTAAATTCGAGGATAAAAAAAAGTCTGATTAATATTCTTTATTCATTCAATTCATTAGTACCTACAGCATTAACATAAATCTACAATTGGACAATTTTTTTTTTAAAGATTTTTAAAATATGATTTATTCATGTGATAGGAAAAAATATACAGAACGACTTACATGACATGCAGTACAACCCTTAAATTATATTTAACAAACATATCGAATGTTAGTTTCTTTGAAACTGAAAGTTTGATATAATATATTTGATTGTAAATTAAGACATCAATTCATGTGAAGAACAATCTTGGAAATCATTTCTTTCAATTATAAAACAGCACCATGTTTTTTTCCCCCAAAATGAAAATTTGTTAAAATTAATGTCTTTCGAAAGGAAAGAACAAGAATATTGGTTGTTTTCTGTTCTCTAGTTTTTTATTTTCGATTTTTCAAAGGAAATTTCCGCTGTCTGTTCTCTCTATTTTTTAGTTTTAGATTAATTTCCAGTACCCGGTTAATGTTATATTTTTTTTAAAGTTTGAAGCAAAAAAAATATATAACTTGAAAAAAACATAAAAAATGAAGAAAACTTAATCGGTGAAGAGGTGTTTTAAAGTAGGCAATCAAAAGATGCACACTAGTTTATCATTTATACATAAACATGTACATGCACATGTAAAAACACCATTAACTGGGGATGCTGCTTCATCATTCGCTATCTGTTTGTTAAGCGTTTATGAGTGTTGATTGTTCAAACACCCAACTTTTTATACGACCGCAAAAAATTTTGCGGTCGTATATTGGAATGACGTTGGCGTCGTCGTTGTCGTCGTCGTCCGGCGTCGTCCTGCGTCGTCCGAAGACACATTGGTTTTCGCACTCTAACTTTAGTTTAAGTGAATTGATCTCTATGAAATTTTACCAATAGGTTCAATACCACAAAAGGAAGGTTGGGATTGATTTTGGGGGTTATGGTACCAACAGTTAAGGAATTAGGGGCCAAAAAGGGGCCACAAATAAGCATTTTTGTAACTTCCAGACATAACTTGTGTGTTAGTGTATGGATCTCTCTGACATTGTACCACAAGGTTCCATATCACACAGGGAATGCTAGGATTGATTTTGGGGGTAATTGCCTCAAAATATCAGGAAATAGGGGCCAAAAAAGGGGTAAAAAAACAAGCATTTTTCTAGTTTCATGACAATAACTTGTGTGTGAGTGTATGGATCTTTCTGAAATTGTACTACAAGGTTCCATATCACAAAGGGAAAGCTGGAATTGAGTTTGGGGGTAATTGCCCAAAACGTTTAGGAATAAGGGGCCAAAAATGGCCAAAAATAAGCATTTTTCTAGTTTCCAGACAATAACTTGTGTGTAAGTGTATGGATCTCTCTGACATTGTACCACAAGGTTCCATATCACAAAGGAAAGGCTGGAATTGATTTTGGGGTAATTGCCTCAAAATATTAGGAATTAGGGGCCAAAAAAGGGCCAAAAACAAGCATTTTCTAGTTTCATGACAATAACTTGTAAGTGTTTGGATATTTCTGAAATTGTACTACAAGGTTCCATATCATAAAGGGAAAGCTGGAATTGAGTTTGGGGGTAATTGCCCGAAACGTTTAGGAATTGGGGGCCAAAAAGGGGCCAAAAATAAGCATTTTTCTAGTTTCCTGTCAATAACTTGTGTTCAAGTGTATGGATCTCTCTGAAATTGTACTCCAAGGTACCATACCACAAAGGGAAGGCTGGGATTGATGATGGGGGTAATTGCCTCAATATTTTAGGAATTAGGGGCAAAAAAGGGGCAAAAAACAAGCATTTTTGTAGTTTCAGGACAATAACTTGTGTGTAAATGTATGGATCTTTATGAAATTGTACTACAAGGTTCCATATCACAAAGAGAAAGCTTGGTTTGAGTTTGGGGGTAATTGCCCTATACGTTTAGGAATTTGGGGCCAAAAAGGGGCCAAAAAACATATTTTTCTAGTTCCCAGATAATAACGTGTTCAAGTGTATGGATCTCTCCGAAATTGTACTGCAAGGTACCATACCACAAAGGGAAGGCTGGGATTGAGTTTGGGGGTGATGAATCATAAGGGGGTTCAAAAAATTTGGGTGGGATTTTTTTTTTTTTTCCTTTTTTCTTTCTTGTAAAATTTTCCGTTTTAAGTTGGTTATTTCTGATTTATATTTAAAAGCAAATAATAATGATATGGTAGGAGATACACACCAATCAGGATGTGTAAATTATTATATAATAAGTGTTGTGCAATAGCAAGAAATTTTCAATTGCACAGTATTGTACAATAACAAGAAATCTTCAATTGCACAGTATTGCGCAATAGCAAGAAATCTTCAATTGCACAGTATTACGCAATAGCAAGAAATATCCAATAGCACAATATTGCGCAATAGCAAGAAATTGTCAATTGTACAGTATTGCGCAATAGCAAGAAATATTCAATTGCACAGTATTGCGCAATAGCAAGAAATCTTCAATTGCACAGTATTGCGCAATAGCAAGAAATATCCAATAGCACAATATTGCGCAATAGCAAGAAATTGTCAATTGTACAGTATTGCGCAATAGCAAGAAATATTCAATTGCACAGTATTGTGCAAAAGAAGATACTTCCTATAAATTGTTTATTTCTTGGCCAATTTCAATGGGGTTTTATTCTTGAATTCTTGGGGTTCTTTAATATGCTGAATCTAACCGTGTATTAAGTTTTTGGATTGTGGGCCCCGTTTTTAAATTGGTCCACATTGAGGTCCAAAGGGTCCAAAATTAAACTGTTTGATTTCATCTTAAATTGAATTATTGGGGTTTTTTGATATGCCGAATCTAACCGTGTATTTAGATTCTTAATTTTTGGTTCCGTTTTCAAATTGGTCTACATTAAGGTCCAAAGGGTCCAAAATTAAACTTAGTTTGATTTTAACAAAAATTGAATTTTTAGGGTTCTTTGATATGCCGAATCTAAACATGTATTTAGATTTTTGATTATGGGCCCAGTTTTCAAGTTGGTCCAAATCGGGGTCCAAAATTAAACTTAGTTTGATTTCAACAAAAATTGAATATATGGGGTTCTTTGATATGCTGAATCTAACCATGTATTTAGATTTTTGATTTTTTGGCCCCGTTATCAACTTTGTCCACATTGAGGTCAAAAGGGTCCAAAATTAAACTTTGTTTGATTTCATCAAAAATTGAATTCTTGGGGTTCTTTGATATACTGAATCTAACCATGTATTTAGATTTTTGATTTTTGGGCCCCGTTATCAACTTTGTCCACATTGAGGTCAAAAGGGCCCTAAATTAAACTTTGTTTGATTTCATCAAAAATTGAATTCTTGGGGTTCTTTGATATGCTGAATCTAACCATGTATTTAGATTTTGGATATTGGACCATAATAGGTGAATGTCCAATTTAAAATTTTTAAGTTCTTAGACCACATTCATTCTGTGTCAGTAACCTATGCTGTGTCAAATATTTAATCACAATCCAAATTCAGAGCTGTATCAAGCTTGAATGTTGTGTCCATACTTGCCCCAACTGTTCAGGGTTCGACCTCTGCGGTCGTATCAAGCTGCGCCCTGCGGAGCATTTTATTTAAATAATGGAATATCTTTTTTGTACGTTTAATTAGGCAATTGAAATCTGTTCGTCTGTTTATCATACTTAAGAATATGTGTATTTTAAATATATTAATCATTTTACTACTATCTTGGAAGTCAAAACT